ACACCTCGATAGGACATCTTAAACGAAACGGCCGCTGTGGTCATACATTGTGAGGAAGTCTCCGGCGAAACGGCCACTGTGGTCAGAAAGAATTTGAGAAAGTCTCAGACGAGGCGGTCTCTGTTGTCATAAAATGTGAGGAAGTGCCCCGAGGTGACGATCCCTCATTGCGTTCCGAGCTTCCGAGACGGCCCATGCAGGCAACCAGGGACACCAAGATGGCCCAGGATGTCACGAAGACGGCCCAAGATGGCCCGAAGGTGGCCCACTACGGCCTCAAGACGGCCCAAGATGCCTACGAGAGGGTCCAAAAGAGTCACAGCGGACCTCCAACAGGGCCCGAAGAAGCCCACACCACTAATTCCTTTAGGTGTTTGAATGATTTTCGCATTCTCGCCATTTCGGGCTTGGGCCAGCTCGAAGCAGCCCAGGAAGCCTCCACGATGACCTCGAGACGGCCCAAGAGGCGCCCAAGAGGGTCCCAAGATGGCCCAAGAGGTACCACACTGGCACAAGAGGCATCCAAGACGGCCCCACGACGACCCAAGAGGGCCTCCCGTGGGACCCAAGACGGCCTCTCGGCCAAGAGGGCCCCAAGACGCCCCCTTTAGAGCCCCACGACGGCGTAAGAAGGCCGCACGACGACCCAAGACGGCCCCAAGAGACCCCCAAGACTGCCTCACACGGGGCCAAGGCAACCCCAAATGGTCCGAACGAGCTCCGTGAGAGTTGCTCAAATAGTGAAGGACAACTGCCTTTTGTGACGGCCTACCTCTTCCTCCTCCTTCTCCTCCTCCTCCTTCTGCTGCTGCTGCTCCTCTTTCTCCTCCTCCTCCTCCTCCTCTTCCTCCTCCTCCTACTCCTCCTCCTCCCCCTCTTCCTAGTCACCACCATCATCATCATCATCATCATCATCATCATCATCATCATCATCATCATCATCATCATCGTCACCACCATCAGCATCATCATCATCATCATCACCATCACCATCATCATCATCAGTCATCACCAGCATCATCATCATCTGCCGCAGCGTCATCATCATCATCATCATCATCATCATCATCATCATCTTCATCTTCATCAGCGTCATCATCATCGCCCCCATTATCATCAACATCATATCATATCATATCATATCATATCATATCATCATCATCATAGTCATCACCATGATCATCATAATCATCATCATCAACATCATCCTCATACACATACGCACCGTCATCATTACCAACACCACCATTATCATCATGACCGTTATCATCATCAGTATCAGCATCAACATCATCATCGTCATCATCATCAGCATCATCACCATCATCATCGTCATCAGCATCATCAACATCATCACCACCACCATCATCACCATCACCATCAGCGTCATCACCGCAATCACCATCACCACCATTACAACCATCACTATCATTATAAACGTCATCATCATCAATACCATCATCATTATTTTCATCATCAACATCGTCATCGTCATTTCCAGCACAATCAGCATCCTCATCGTCCTCATCATTACCACAATCCCCACCAGCATGACCATCATCATTAACATTACCATTAGGATCGTCGTCAACATCATCATCACAATGTCACCACCATCATCGTCAGCATCATCATTATGATCATGATCATCGTCATCACCACCATACTACAACCATCATTATCATAATCCTCCTCCTCATCATTATCATCATCGTCATCGTCGTCATCATCGTCACCGCGTAACCACCACCGCCATCCTCCTCTTCCTCCTCCTGCTCGCCACCATCACCACCATCATCATATTCCTGCTCCTTCTTCTTCTCATCTCCCTCCTCCTCGTCCTCCTCCTCCTCGACACCATCATCATCAGCATCATCATCATCAACAACAGCATTATCAGCATCGTCATCGCCATCACCATCATCATCACCATCATCACCACCATCGCCATCATCATCATCATCATCATCATCATCATCATCATCATCATCATCATCACCAGCATCATCATCGTCATCATCACCATCGGCATCATCATCAGCATCATCATCATAATCAACATCATCATAATCAACATCATCAACATCATCGTTGACACCATCGTCATTCAACCCCATCATCATCATCATCATCAGCATCATCATCATAATCATCATCATCATCATCATCATCATCATCATCATCATCATCATCATCCCGGCTCTTCCAACCCTGGAGACACGAGGAGCCAGACGTGACGGCATCCCGTGCCCCCTCGAACCGTCGCCACCCAGAATGCTGGGCTGGCACGGTGGAGGGATCTGCCGCAGGCAGCTGGATTGCGAGGAAGTCTCTGGCGAAGCGGCTTCAGTTGTCATAAAGTGTCACGAATTTCGGGGAGACGTAAGGCTCGGGTACGGGGGACTCGGGTTGGCCTGACGGGGACCATCATAAAAATGACGAGACCCAATCTGAAATTTGACGCGGGCTCCCGCTGCAGACATCCCACGAAAACGGGACCGTCAAAACTCAGGACGCGCTCGTCAAAAAAAAATCGGCAAACCCGAGTTCCGGGCTCACCCGAGTCTGACGTTTTCCCGAGAATTCTGAAGCGAAGCGATGGTTTCTGTTGTCCTAACTTGTGACGAAGTCTCGAGCGAAACGGCCTCAGTGTTTCTGACTCGTGGGGGAATCTCCGGCGAAATGGCGATTCAAGGAGTCGGGCCTCGGAGCTCTCCCCATCCCTCCCGCGGGATGTCGGTGCGATCTTCCATGACCCCCGGCAAAGCCTTCTGCCGCTTTCGCTTCCAGGGGAAGCCCGCGGCAAACCCGAGCCACAACAGGCCGACAAACCCGAACCCGGCTTCCCCTGGCCATCGCTCGGACGACCACTCCCTGTGCTTTTTTCCGGTTTCGCGCGTGTTTTTTTTTCTTCTCACAGGATGATCCAGGAGGCTCCTGAATGATCCCCGCCGAGAAAAGGTGCACACGTCCGAGCGACACCAGGGCACCCAGCAGGGAGAGAGGACGCGCGCCGAGCTGCCCTCGAGAGGCGGCGGTGCCGTGGGCGGCCGCAGCGGCTGCTCGCGCGGCTGCTCGGGCGGCCGACCCCGCTGAAACGCCGCGGCCGCGGGCGAAAAAGAAGCCCACCGGCGGGCGTGCAGCTCGACGGGCGCCCAGTGGGGCGCGCAGGGACATGCTAGTGCTATATACACACACACACATATATATATATATATATATATATATATATGTCCACCTTGGAGGCGCGCGTCCGACCCGAGCATATAGTATACCCATCTTGTAGTAACTATCGTTTCGCGTCTGGTGTGGCCACAGAGCGCCCGCCACGGCGCATACACTATGTAAGATTTCCCGGTGCGCGCGTCGCCCCTGGGGGGGCGACGCGCATATGGTATAAGTATGCTGGGGTGACGCCGACCCTGGGCTCCTTGAACCTCAGCGTCGACGCGGCCGACCTCTCTGGAGGTCGGCGCCGCCTCCTCGAGAGGCTTTCTCCGTGCCCTCGCGCTGTAGTGGAAGATAGGCTCGCGTCCAGCTTCAGCTTGTGGGCCAGACGCAGCAGAGAAAGCTGCAGCCGCACAAGTTGGCGGCGCTCACAAAGGGGTGTGGGGGGTGGAAAGCGTCTGAGAAGGAGGCTGCTTCTTAGACGGCGCCGGCCTTGCATCTTCAGGTCAGGCCCGCGCCTTCTGAGAAGCAAGGGATGCCTCTTAGAAACCTTCCCACCCTCGCCCTACCGCCCCTCTGCGCGTGGCCGAACAAGGATTAGGTCGGGCGTACAGACAGAAAATACCACCACAATGTCAGACAATATGCAAAAACACAAAAAACGCCCCCAGACTTTTTTTTTCTCTCTCTCTCTCTCTCTCTCGTAATTTTTGAATTTTCCTCCTGTAGAGGGACAGGCCCGACTTAGAAGGAGGTCGACGCCGCCTCGGGCACCGCCTTCCCGGCGAGCGCCGGCCTCCGCACGAGCAGCCCGCGGCAACAGGCCTGCGGAGGCGGAGGTGCGGCACGCCCCCGGGGCAGGCCCGCCGCTCGGTGCCGCCGCGGGTGCGCCGAGCCCGATGCCCACCCGCCCTCCTGCGGCGAGGTCCCCTTCCCCAGCGATCCCTTGGACGCCGTGGGCCTGCATTGATGGGCCCGCTTTCCACCAACGCTACCATATGTAGGAAGAGGAGGCGGAGGAGGAGGAGGAGGAGGAGGAGGAGGAGGAGGAGCAGGAGGAGGAGCAGGAGGAGGAGGAGGAGGAGGAGGAGGAGGACCTCCTCATCCTCCCTTCTCCCCCGTCCTACTTATGGTAGTGCTGGTGGTGGAGAATTTGCCCATCCTGCATGCCATTCACAGCGGCCCGGGCGCCGACGACCAGCCCCGCCGCCAGCGCCCAGCCCGGGCGCTCGCCCGGTCCTGGAGAGGTCGGACGCTGGAGCCCGCCGCCGGGGTCGTCGTCGGCCGCTAGAAGCTGGCAGGGGGGCAGGCCGCCACCGTGGCCGTCTTCGAGCGAAGCGCACCGCCACCGCCTCTGGTCGCCAGGACAGCCAGACCGTCGCCCAGGGGCGGCCCTTGAACTCCAGGGCCTCCAGGCCGACGGGCTTGAGCCCAGACCGTTACGGAACATGCCCTCTGACACGCCCCTGGCCGCGCCCCCAGGGGGGTGTCCTGGTACGGCCACAGGCGCGGTCCCAAGCACGCCCGCAGAAACGTACCCCCTCCACGCGGAACACAGCCGCCACGGAGATCGAGCTTGCTATTTGGGGGTCTTGGCTGCTCCCTCCTTCTCTGGATCCTCCTCCTCCTTCTCTTCCTGATCGCCGTCCCCCACCTGACTCTCTTCCTCCTCCTCCTCCTCCTCCTCCACCTTCCCCTCCTCCATCTTATCCTCCCTCCTTATTATCCTCCCTCCTCCATTTCTGGAGCAAGGGAGTGCACCTGCGGTATAAGATACTGATAAACAATCCCAATGCATACCTCCATAACCGATCCCACGGGCGATAAGACATGCGGTCGCGGCGAATCGAAGGATGGACACAACGCGGGTGGATGCGCATGATGGCGGCGTTGATGATGGTTTTGCTCTTCCAGGCCAAGCACAGAAGTGAAAAAAAAACTGCAAAAGTAGAAATGGCCGAAGACCCCGAGGAAGCTTCGCGGCTCCTTCCGCGCAACCTGCCAGAGGCAAGCCCTTGGCGTGCGCTTCCTGGTGGATGCCTACGTCTCGCGGCGCGGCCAGATCTCGTAGCAAAGAAACAAAAAAGGAGCAAGAGGCCGAGGATGAACAAGAGGAACAGTAGTCAGAGACGGTGGGATTACACATGCACGTGGGCCCCACAAGGCAACGCTGCATGAGAAGACGCATGGAGTAGGACAACTCGGCACAGTATGGGCACGGCACGGCCTGCGGACACGGCACAGCACGCGCACGGCACGTGGTGTACGTGTATTCTAAACTTCGGGCGCCGCTGCCACATTCTGACACTCAGGCACGGCGCGCGGCGCAGCACCTGGGCACAGCACACCACGCACGCACGGCATGCTTTCACACTCCAGGCCTCGAGCACGGCACGGCCATCGCACAGGACACGGGACACGGGAACGGCACAGCACGCGGGCACGGCACGGCACGCGTGTCGTATCCAGCCTCCCCTGACACGCGTCCTCGTGCTGCGGGTGGGGCCCCTCATCGCATGCGCTGTTGAGGGAAGCATGCGCTGATCGAGCAGACAGAGAACGGCACAGCCAGCAGCTGGCAGAGGTCCACGCGTGTCTCCTGGGCCAGGGAGGACCCAGGAAGACATCCGGATCTGCATGCTGCGGCTGACATGTTATCCGATACAGTGTGGGCATTTTTTTATTATCCTATCACCCTGGGGCTTATCATGCACAAATCAATTCGGACGCCGCACACACAGTGTGGGCATTGGATAAGGAATCCTGAGATAAGGAATCCAGGGTCTGGACGCCAGTGGAACTCCAATCGTGGACTGGCCATGGACATCACCGCCGCCCTCATCGGATCTCCCGGGTCTGGCGCCTCCTGGGACTATTCGTTACCACACGCTTCCACCGAAACAGCGGAGGGAAAGAACAACGGACACCGATGAGCGGGGGAGACAGACGAGTGATCCGCCCAAGCGCGCTCACTGCGCATCTCCAGACTGCCCCTGGTCCGCTGCCTCTGCCGGCTCCGAGGTGCTGTCCTTCGCATCCGAGACCTCCAGGAGGGAGGAGGCACGAGGAGAAGGAGGAGGAGGAGGGCGAGCAGGAGGAGGACTAGCAGGAGCAGGGGTGACGAGAGAGGGGGAGGGTAAGGATAAGGATGATGATGATGCTGCTGATAATGATGATGAAGAGTAGGAGGAGGATGAGGAGGATAATGATGATGCTGATTATGATGATGAAGGTGATGATGATGCTGATGCTGATGATGATGCTGCTGCTGCTGATGATGATGATGATGATGATGATGATGATGATGATGATGCGGACGGTGATGATGAAACTGCTGCTGATGATGAGGCTGTTGATGTTGATGCTGATGTGGATGATTATGATGCTATTGATGAATATAATGATGATTCTGATGATGACGATGACGATGATGCTGATGATTATGATGATGCAGCTGCTGCTGCTGCTGCTGATAATGATGATGATGATGATGATGATGATGATGATGATGATGATGATGATGATGATGATAATGATGATAATGGTAATGATAATGATACTCATGATGATGACGATGATGATGATGGATGATGATGGATGATGATGATGATGATGATGATGATGATGATGATGATGATGATGGTGGTGGTGATGATGATGATGCTTATGATGATAATGATGATGAGTCTGATGATGATGCTGATGCTGATGCGGATGCTGATGCTGATGCTGATGATGATGATGCTGTTGCTGATGATGATGATGCTGCTGCTGATGATGATGATGGTGATGGTGTGATGATGATGATGATGATGATGATGATGATGATGATGATGATGATGATGATGATGATGATGATGACGGGAGGAGGAGGAGGAGGAGGGAGGAGGAGGAGGAGGAGGAGGAGGAGGAGGAGGAGGAGGAGGGGAGGAGGAGAAGGGGGAGGAGGAGAGGAGGAGAGGAGAGGAGGAGGAAGAGGAGGAGAAGGAGGAGGAGGAGGAGAAGATGGAGGAAGAGGAGGAGGAGGAGGAGCAGAAGGATGAGGATGAGGAGGAGGAGGAGGAGGAGGAGGAGGAGGAGGAGGAAGAGCAGGACGGAGAGAGGATCGGGAGCAAGAGGTGTGGAAGTGGAGAGGTCCTCTGCCAGGTCCGGGACGACGGGCAGGAAGTCCGCCGCCTCCTCCTCCTCCTCTTGCGCGCCCGGGACCTCGCGAGCCTGCTTGTCCGCCTCCGATAGGCGCGGGGGCCGAAGGAAGGGACGGGAGGAGGGAGGCGGGAGATCGCAAGAGAGAGGGAGGAAGGACTGAGGAGGGATGCTTTGTTGTAGTTGCCGCTGCTGTTTCTGCTGCTGTTGCTGCTGTTTCTGTTGCTGCATTCTCAGCGCTAAAGAATTATCCCGGCAAAGCAACCTAACAGCGATGTGTAGAAGCATATCTGAAAGCATTCCCCTTAAGATTCAGATGAAAATCCAGTTGTCGAATTCTGCTGTTCTCGCAGTCGTAGTCGCATTCGCGATGACAGTCGCAGCGGCAACGGCAGTCGCAGTCACAGCCTCAGCCTCAGCCTGCCTCAGCCTCAGCCTCAGCCTGCCTCAGCCTCAGCCTGCCTCAGCCTCAGCCTCAGCCTGCTTCAGCCTCAGCCTCAGTCTGCCTTCAGCCTCGGCCTCAGCCTCAGCCTGCCTCAGCCTCAGCCTGCATCAGCCTCAGCCTCAGCCTCAGCCTGCCTCAGCATCAGCCTGCCTCAGCCTCAGCCTCAGCCTGCCTCAGCCTCAGCCTCAGCCTGCTTCAGCCTCAGCCTCAGTCTGCCTTCAGCCTCGGCCTCAGCCTCAGCCTGCCTCAGCCTCAGCCTGCCTCTCAGCATCAGCCTGCCTCAGCATTCAAAATGTGGCCCGGGAATGGAGTTCTGGGAACTCGAAGAACACGAAGTGGCCTACAGTTGGCTCCGGGCATTCAAAATCATGCCCAGGAATGGAGTTCTGGGAACTTGAAGAGCACGAAGTGGCCTACAGTTGGCTCCGGGCATCCAAAATGTGGCCCGGGAATGGAGTTCTGGGAAATCGAAGAGCACGAAGTGGCCTACAGTTGGCTCCGGGCATCCAAAATGTGGCCCGGGAATGGAGTTCTGGGAGCACCAAGAGCGATTTTGCGAGGATGTCCCAAGCGATTTCGGCTTCGACGGCAGCCTCCCCGGGTCCCGCCCAGACCCCCCTGAGGAGTCATGATGCTCTCTTTTGAAACCACTAGAAACCTATCAGCAAGAGCTGTTAGGTAAAAAGTGTTGTTGATGCCCCCTCCGGGGCACATTGTGTTTCCCGACGAAGCGCCGTACTGGGTGACGCGGGACGCATGTAAAGACAAGGCAGGGATGGACGGAGGGAGGGAGGGAGGATGGCATCATCCGTACTGAGCTATTCGCGTCGCGAACAGGGGGCATTATTCGTATTGGGCTACGGAGGAGGGAGGGAGGAGGGAGGGGGGAGGAGGGACAACAAGGAAGGAAGATAGAGGTGGGAGGAGAAGGTGGGAGAAGGGAGGGAGGAAAGAGAAGGGAGGGAGGACGGGGAGGGAGGGAAGACAAGGGAGGGAGGGAGTAGGGAGGAAGAAGAGAGACGAAGGGGGGACAACGGTCCTCCGCCGGCATAGCTGCAGGGCTGTTCGCCTCCTTGTCGAAGCCCGTGCTCGCCGCCTCGTCGGCCTGCCCGTCTGCCTCGAGGAGGGGGTGAACTGAGGGGGAGCGAGGGGAGGAAGGCAATCTGAAGGAGAGGGGACCACGACATCCCAGGTCACCCAGCTTCTCGCATCGCGCCCCGCGGTGGGCGACTCGTGCGCGCGAGGCGCGACCCTCTGCGCGCCCCCCCCCCCCCGGGTGGGACCTGGGAGACCCGCTGTGCATCTCGTCGCCACGGGGTCCCAAGACGTCCAGGCCCTCTCCCCGGGGCCCTCTCGTCCTGCGCAGTCGGCTCTGCCGACGGCCCTGGGGACCGGCCAGGGCCCCCAGGGGCCGAACGCGGCGACAGACACCAGCCTCGTCTCTTCGATACGCTGGAGGTCTGGGGGGGGGGGAGGAGGGGTGCCAGGAGGGAGCAGCGAGGACACAGGATCGGCGGTGGACAAACCTCCCTTTAGTAAACCTCCCCTTAATGAAAAACGGCCTGGGACGGAACCCGACGGGCCTGGACCCGCAAAAATGACGGCCGCGACGCCCTCTCGCGAACCGAAAACGACCGATTCGCTAATCGACGTGTCAGGGTAGGAGGTCTGTCCAACCCCGGGGGAAGGAGGGGTGCCAGGAGGGAGCAGCGAGGACACGTGGAGGAGGCGCCTCCGTCGGGACTCGCGGAAGGAGGAGGAGAAGGAGGAGCAGGAGGAGGAGGAAGAGGAGGAGGAGGAGGAGGAGGAGGAGGAGGAGAAGGAGGAGGAGGAGGAGGAGGAGGAGGAGGAGGAGGGAGAAGGGAGGAGGGAGGAGGAGGGAGGAGGGAGCAGGAGGAGGAGGAGGCGGAGGGAGGAGGAGGCGCCTCCGTCGGGACTCGCGGAAGGTCGCCGGCCCCCTTGTCCGGCTCCGCGGCCTGGGCCCCTTCCGCGGTCGGGGCCCCGTCGCCCTGCTCCTCCTCGGGGGGCTGGGAGGCCAAGGACGCGGCAGGGCCGCGTCGCGACGGCGACGGCGCCTCGGACGCTCTCCTCGGACGTCTCCGCTCTTCCTCGGGCGCTGCCTCATGATGATGATGATGATGATGATGATGATGATGATGATGATGATGATGATGATGATGATGATGATGATGATGATGATGATGATGATGATGATGATGATGATGATGATGATGATGATGATGATGATGAGGAGGAGGAGGAGGAGGAGGAGGAGGAGGAGGAGGAGGAGGAGGATGGAGGATGGAGGATGGAGGAGGAGGAGGAGGAGGAGGAGGAGGAGGAGGAGGAGGAGGAGGAGGAGGAGGACGAGGAGGAGGAGGAGGAGGAGGAGGAGGAGGAGCAGGATGGGAGGATTGAGGGGAGGAGGAGGAGGAGGAGGAGGAGGAGGAGGAGGAGGAGGAGGAGGAGGAGGAGGAGGAGGAGGAGGAGGAGGAGGATGGAGGAGGAGGAGGAGGAGGAGGAGGAGGAGAGCGGAGGAGGAGGAGGAGCAGGATGGAGGGAGGAGGAGGATGGAGGAGGAGGAGGAGGAGGAGGAGGAGAGAGGAGGAGGAAGGAGGAGGAGGAGGAGGAGGAGGAGGAGAAGGAGGATGGAGGATGGAGGAGGAGGAGGAGGAGGAGAAGGAGGAGAAGGAGGGGGGAAAAGGAGCGTGCACCTTTCGTGCCCCTTCTGGGTGGCCACTTTTTGGTGCCCCATTCAGGGCACAAGAGGTGCCCCTGTCTTCGCCCTCCCCGCACTCGCCACCGCTCGGACCTCCAATGCACTGCTCGTGCGTGTATGTTCCGCACGACAATCAAATCGCACACGTCCGAGCGATGCCGAGCCCATCTACCGCCCCCCACGACGCAACGCCCGAACATCATTCTGGCTCTGTTTTATTTGCTTGACTCCGGATGCTCTCCAGCAGGCGCGCCGCGCCGCGAGCTCTCTGGGGGTGCCCGGGCCGTCCCGAGCGGCAGCCGCCAGGCCGGACAAGACCCACCGCCGCGCCGCCACGGCACGTGCCTGGAGCGCGCCGCTGCCTCCCGGGGAGCGCGCTCTGGCAAGGATCGGCGGCGAGCGAGGGGGGCGCAGTGAGAAGCAGGAGGCCTCTTCAGAAGGCGGCGGGGCTTCTCGGAAGGCGCCTGGACTTCTGGAGACTGCTTTCTCTGTCTTCGGGGAAGGCGGGAGCACTTCTCAGAAGGCCCGGGCACTTCTGAGCTTGCTGACCCAAACCCCCGACGTCATGATTTCGTCATGACGCGACCCCCAGAGGTCTGGACCCGTTCCCCGAGAGCGGTTTCTCATCCCGACTCGTTGTTTGAGGCCCCGAGTCCCAGAAAGGGCCCCCAGGTGCAGTGCAAAACCTCCCGTCGTGATTTTTGTCACGTCTCTTGGACCGTCAGAGGCGCCCCCCCAAGATACCTCCAAGACGGTCCAAGAGCGCTCCAAGAGAGCCCAAGACCGCCCAAGACGGCCCAAGAGGCTTCCAAGACGCCCCAAGAGGCGCCCAAGGGGCGTCCCAAGAGGTCTCCAGGGGGCCTGGGGAGAAGGCCCGCCCCTCCTCGCTTGCCCCCCTCGCTGGCCGCCGAAGGGATCCCGAGACGAGCCCGGCCGTGGAGCTGAGGGCCCCCCTCACGCCTGGACCGAGGCCAGGACCATGCCCACGGTGCGGCTGCACGCAGAAGTGGCCCCACAGCAGGAGCTGGACCACAAGAACCCTTCCACAAGAAACCCAGCCCTGAGACCCCAGGGCGTCCATTGATTTTTGGCGTGGGAACGTCACGCTTGCCATAGCAAAACCATCGAAACCCAAGAGACCCAGGACACCCTGGAGGCAAGAAGGGTGTTTCTTGGCATGGGCCTCCACTGTAGGCAAGAGTGACCCTTGGTGCGCGGCCTCAGGGGGTGCGTGATGGGGGCCAAAGCTGAGCGCGCAAGCCGCTGCTATCGCATCTCATTCGGCTATCGGGGGGGGCCCTCTTGGCCCGCACCGACCGTCACTCCAGCGCAGTGCCGTTCTTACGTGTAGTCGATTATGTTTGTTCACCACGTAGTGGCAAATGGCAGCCCAAACACAATGCATATGTGTTCCTTTCAGCACCTGTGGCCCCGAGAGCCAGCCAGACAATTACATGCTAGATGGTGTCCAGTGGCGTTTCTGCGAAGCCCCACAGGACAGGGCCCAAATAACCCAATGTATACATATATCTCATGTATACGTGCATGTAGATGTGTATAGAAAGATATTTATTCATACGCGGCTCCCACTGAATGCCTTCTGGACCCTCACGGCGTCCATTATGTCTGGTTGTCGGTCCCGGATCGGTGCTTGCCCTGGGGCAGGAAGAGCTTTCGGTCGCCGCAAACTAGAAAAATAATCGATCCTCGAATTCCTCCTCCCCCGAAGACTTCTCGGGGCAGACCGGAAGCGGGGCGTCAAAACCGCTCAAACTTCTTCCTGGAACCATCCAGGGATCCCTTCTAGCTACTCCTTTTAGCTGCGTCCAGCCGTGGCGAGGAGAGAATCTCGAGGGATGCTCAACAAAAACTCCGAAGCGACGACAACGTCGTCGGTGTCGTCCCCTTGAATCCTTCTCGAGTGCGACCAGAAGCGGGGCACTCGCGCTGGCGCCCTGGCGCCAACAAGAGCGCCGGACGGACATTTGTTTGCTTTCCGCTCGATTTTTCCGACGGCCCCAGGGCCCGAAACGGGTCCCTGGAAGACGATGGCGAAGACACGCCACGAACCTCGGGGTCGAAGTCCTCGTCGAGCACAGCGGGAGGCGGGGCGCTCTCGTTTCGGGCGGGTGCTGCTGGGGGGTGGCCCACACGGGGGGTGAATCAAAGAGCCCTGCATGGACACTTTTTTTTGAATCCGTAGCTGTCCATGTGTGCGTCCACGTGTCTGTTCCAATCGAGGGTTGCCAATCAGAGTGCGACAAACCTGCGTCAAAGAGGCTCGCGTCATGCACTTCCTGACAAACGTGAAAGCCATGCGACCTCCCTGCACGAGGCCACATGCATATGCACTGAGTTCGCTGCACGGCGGATCGCGTCAACTTCGCTAGAAACAGCTAGCCCCACATGGACGCGTTGGGGCCCCTCCTGGGCCCCCGCTGGCTCCAGGAGGGGCCCGAAGAAGTGTCCCTTTGGGGCCCTTTCCTTCGCCCCCCCGTGGGGGCCCCCCCCCCCCCCCCACTCGCACCCGCCCGATCGCCGGGGCCCCGGGAAGCCTCGACCCCTGCCCCGGGCAGGACCGGCAGTTCCGTCCTGCACGGCCCTTCTGACGGCCTCGGGGCTGGGTGAGGGCACCCGGAGGCCGAACACGGTTCACTGTTGAGGCGGGAATGTTGTCCCTGTCCGCGGAATCCGTGGCCCAAATGGGCCCGATCCGTTCCCTGCAATGGAAACCTGTCGCATGCCTTTCGGGACCAATTCTTGCTGGCCTCAGGGCCTGAAGCGGCCCTCCAGCGGCCTAAACGAAAACGCCCCGACTGAACCAACAAGTCCGCCAGAGGCCCAGGACACGACCAGGTGAGCGCCGACGCCAACAGACGGCGTAGCGGGATTGCTGCCCCCCTCGACCGCTCTCTCTGCTTCTCTCTCTCTCTCTCTCTCTTCCTCTCACTGTCTCTCTCTCTCTCTCTCTCTCTCTTTCTTTTTCTCTCTCTATTTCTCTCTTTCGCTGGTACTCTTGCGTGTTTCATCGCATCGGTCCGCCTGTCACTGCAACATTTTGCCGCGAAACCAATGCTTTGGGGTGAAACAACGCACCGCTTGACTGAACAAACTGTCGCCCCGACTTCTGCTGCACTTGCTTCGACATCGTCCTCGTAACCAGACCCCCGGCGCCGTGTTTTTTCACAACGTGGGCCCCCGAAAGTCTCGACCCGTGCCCCGAGACCGGCTTTTCATCCTTTGAGCAGGGACGGACCGTCCAGGCACTCCTATAAGCCTACCGCAACATATTCTTAGAACCCGAACATGTTCTAAGAACAACACCACTGTTTTTAGAACACAAACCCGATGTGTTAAAACAAGACGGTCTCAGCCAGAAGTGGTAGAAAAACAGACCGCACAGACCACGACACGTGCTGGGAACAGTCCTTGGTGGGCCCATGGCCACGCCAGGACGCTTCGCCACTGCTCGCACCCCGCATCGTAACTGGGCGGCCGCAGGGCACGGCGAGGGCCCCCGGCGGCCGAGGAATGGCAAGAGGCCACCCGCCGTGCGATTTGTTTCCCGACGCGGATCGTTTTGGGACGGCCGCAGCGCACGGCGGGGGCCCCCGGTGGCCGAGGAATGGCAAGAGGCCGCCCGTCAACGATCTGTGCCCCGGGGGTCCATGTCGAAGACGACCGGCAGAGGGGCGCTCTCGTTGGCGTTCTGGCGGAGCTCCCGCTGCAAGGCGCTGGCGTTGCCGCCCGCGGCGTCGAGCCGGGCCGAGGAGTCCAGCAGTGCCCTCTCGGCCTGCAGCTTCGCCACCTCCGCCTTCAGCTTCTCCACCCTTCGTTTTTTTGTTCAGCGAAGGGGGGTTCGAGGTTCGAGGAGCGAAAACCGTCCTCCTCCTCCTTCGCCACCTTCGCCTCCTTCCCTCCTCCTCGTCCTCCTCCTCCTCCTCCTCCTCCTCGTCCTCCTCCTCCTCCTTGTCCTCCTCCTCCTCCTCCTACTTCTGTTCCTCGTGTGCACGTCGCCTGAACCCACCGGGTTTGCCGTCCGTCTGCTCGTAGGTCAGAGCTGTCTGGCACGACGAGTGGCGTGGCAGAGACACTGCACCATCCCCACTCTCCATTGCTGGGAAGCCCTTGCCTTGTCTTCCGAAGTGTCCAATCCAATCCAATCCAATATTACCCCTCCTCCTAATCCTCCTCCTTCGCCTTCCTCTCCCTCCCCCCACGCCTGGGGGAGGAGGTAGGGGCATGATGAGAAGGGAGAGGGAACAGGATGAGAGGATGAGGAAACGGATGCTTATGATGATGGTGATGCTGATGATGCCCATGATGATGATGAGGAGTTCGACTAATCCGATAGCCCTTATAACGGCGACGATGGAACACAGTGCCGGGGAACTGCTTTGAACATCACCAGTCGTTCAAAGCAGTGCCCCGGCACTGCTTTGAACGATGCGGAAATGCGATCAGCAGGAGCCTTCGTCTGTTCCTTCTCCTCTTCTCGTCGCTGTATGCTCTTCCTTGTCCTCCCTCCTCCCCCGTTCCCTCTCTAATTAATTACCTCGTTCTCCCAGTCTCACGCGCACTTCTCCTCCTGCTCTCCTCCTCGTCCTCCTCCTCCTCCTCCTCCCCCTCATCCTTGTTATATTTCTCCGTCCTTGTCCTCCTGTCCCCGTTCTCCTTCTCCCTCTCCTCCTCCTCCTCCTCCTCGTCGTCGTCCTCCTCCTCCCTCCTCCTCCTCCTCCCTCCTCCTCCCTCCTCCTCCTCCTCCTCCTCCTCCTCCCTCACCTTCTTCCTCCTCCTCCTCCTCCCCCTTTTCCTCTCCCTCCTCCTCCTCCTCCTCCTCCTCCCCCTTCCCCCTCTTCCTCCTCTGCTATCACTCCTCCATAATTCCTGTCCGCTCCTCCCCTTCACTGATCTTCCTCTTCGTCATCATCATCCCTTTCGTCGCACGCCTCTTAATCCTCAATCGGTTCCCAATCTTCTCGACTTTCTTGTCATCCGCGTCCTTGGCTGTTGGAGGGGCCTCAGGAATTCTCAGGGCTCTTGTGTTGCACGCGAAGGCACACCTCCCAGGAACGCATCATCCTCCTCACATTCACCCTCCTCCTCCTCATCCTCCTCCTCCATGCACGTTCGGCTCAAGCCCGCGCCGACGGTAGGTTTCACGGCGGTTGGGCGGGCTCGCGCCCGCCTCCGCGGCCTGCAGTCGGGGCAGAGATGCGTGCAGGGTGGGATGACAAAGCGGAAGAGGAAACACGGGCCGCAGTTGCGGATTCTTCAAAGAGCAGCGGCGGCGGTTGGGGAACAAGTGGGGGTTGGGGCGGCCGCAGTGGCGGATACGGCGGCGGAGGTGACCGCAGTGGCGGCTGGGGCGGCGGAGATTCTCTTGGCGGATGGAGAGGAAAAGCGCAGGATGGCGGCGACGGAAGTGACCGCAGTCGCGGATGGGAGGGCGGCGGATGGGGCGGCAACGGATGCGAGGGTTGGGGAATGGAGGGCGCCCGCTGGTGGGACGACGAGGGTGGCTGGTGGAATGCATGGGAAGGTGGCCGCTCGAGTGCCTCGGCAGGTTCTCCTGCCGCGGAGCCCGCGGCCGCAACAGCGGCGGGCAAAGGAGGCGGTCCCCTGCTTCCCCCAGGGCGCGAAGAACAAGGCGCAGTTGCGCTGTTTCAAATTGTGCGCAATGAGCCGCTGCCAATTTTCAAGTTGGAATTCTTCGAGAACTTCAGGGCGAACTGGAACGGCAATTATAAGCAGCACAACGCGGCCTTGAAGTGGTTCCGAGACGAGTACGAAGACCGAGAAAACCCTTTCGGCAGCCGCACGCCCGTCTTCGGAGGTACCGCAGTTGCGGAGGAAATTTCGAAGATCCTTAAGTACCGCGCAAAGGGGAAGGCGCAGGACAACAGGGATTGGGACTGGGACCACACTGTCAAAGTGCCGTGGTCTTGGCTGGAGATGGTCGCGCAGATGGATGGACCTACAATGCTGCGCGTCGTGTGCGGCCCTGACAATGACCGCAGTCGCGGGTTGGTCCGCTGCGAGTGCCGCCCGTGCCCTAGCAGTCTCGACAACATGAGGCACACGAAAGGGGTGGACAGAGGACAGGCGCAAAGAATCCCTCTGCCCCAGTGGGATTTCGTCCTCATCCGCGACGACGGCTCGGGCATTCGCGTCCACCCATCCTGGTCTAGCCCGAAGTTCAACACGTATGAGGTGGAGCCGCACTCGCATCCCGTGCGGGGCCCGAGGGCAGGTCTCGGCAAGAGCGATGGCCACGGAACGTTCACGTTCTGGAAGATGCTGCACGCCCATCCGAATCCTGGGCGGTTCGACGCGAGCAAGGGGGCGCAGCTGCAACCGCGGTGGTCCGCGCAGCCTTGACACCGCAGTTGCGGGATTGCGCAGCCATGGAACCGCAGTTGCGGGGACCGATCGCGTGACGCCGCGCTCGTTTGACTCACTATGCGCGCTTTCGGCCGCAGTTGCGGCGCTGCCTTCTAGCGACTTCATACAGCTTGGCCGCAGTTGCGGCGCTCCCACGACTGACCGCTGTAATTAGGTGCTTCGGGCGCGCATCACCTCCGTTGAAGCACTCGTGACGTTAATTAGCGCGGCCGCAGTTGCGGAGACAGGTACTTAAACAGATGGATCCGCAGTTGTTCGTCGTCCTCGTCGCCCCTTCCCCGTCGTCCTCGTCGCAGTCTCCTCCCTCCGCCTTTCCTCCTCGTCGCAGTTCCTTCCGTTGGCCGTAGCCCGCCTCCGTTGGCCGAGTCATTTCCCGTCGTCCTCGTCGCAGTCCCCCCCGAGGGCCGCAGTTGCGGACTTTGTTGATTCCTCCTCCTCCGTTTCTGCCCCGTCATCCTCGTCGCAGTCCCCTTGCTCCTTTCACCCTCGTCTGAGCTCTTCGCGCCATCCTCTTCCGTCGCGTCCTCTCCATCCTCCTCTTCGCCTTCCTCGTCCTCATCCCCGCCGTCTCCCTCGTTGTCCTTCCTCTCCCAAGCCGGCCGCAGTTCCCCCGTCGGACGGGGGCCGCGCGCGGCCACGCCATGGACCCAGGTCGCAAAGCCGAGGTCGACAAGCGGTTCGCCGAGCTGAAGCAGCAACTGCGGGAAAGGTTCGGCCTGCAAGGGGCTGCCGCGGATGCCGCAGTCGCGGAGCCGACGGAGGACCGCAGTTGCGGAAGCCCCGAGCGACCGCCGCGCGAGGCCTCCCCGCAGTCGTCTAGCTCCTCGCGGGAATATCGGCCGCCGCCGCCGATAAGCGCTGCGAGTGGGAGCTCTGCTGGTGGGAGGCGCGAAGAGGCGCAGTTGCGCAGGGCGCACTTGACCCCCAAGGCAAAATGGGGGCCTCGGGCGCAGACGCCGACGAAGCAGCAGGACCAACCAGCAGTGACGGGAGCCGCCACCGAGACCGCAGTTGCGGGGGTGGCCGGCGAGCCAGGTGCCGCGCGCGGCTCATCTGGGAGCAGCGCGCCCTCGGCCGTGCTGCTCGCAGCCGAGTCCAAACGAGGCGCCCAACCCGAAGACGAGGCCGCCTCCCAGGAGAAAGCCGCCGAGACAATCGCCTCGGCCGATTCGCGGCCGAGGAAAAGGCCGCCTCCCACGGAAGGCTCGCCGCTGTCAGAACCGCAGTCGCGGGGTCGCGCGGGGCCTCCGTCGGAACCGCAGTTGCGGGAAGATGCGGGAGCACCGCGGAAGAAGCAGCGGACCAGGTCCCCTCCAGGGATAAACTACGTTGGGGAACGCCCCAAGTGGAACGAAGGATTCCTTCGTACAGCAGACGGCAATCGGGTTCCGTCCACCATCGCTTTGGTGTTCAACGTGGTGGTCATCACGAAGGTGGCAACAAAGGAAGATGTCTTCAGGTGCATCTTGCACCAAACTGCGGCGGTCGTCTTCGTCGTATGGGACCCCGAGCTGTTCCGCACGGGGAACGTCGAAGGCGCTTGCAGCTACGACGTTCCCGTTGGACTCAGGACTGCCGTCGAAGACGCTGTCACTTTGAAAAACAACACCGCGGAGCCTTACTGGACGACGGTTGGCCTGTTCAGAGACACGGGCGTGGTGCTCGTGCGCCCGCACATCATCGCAGAGACCGCAGTTGCGGGTCATGTTGTTGGGGCCACCCACGCCGTCACGATCCTGCGCTTTCGCCTGAAGGGCTCCGACATGAATCCTGCCGCGGTGATCCGTTTTGCCGTCGTGTCCAGACACGCAGTCACCGAACGTCTCCAACAGAAGATCACGCAATCAGAACAAACAGCGTGGCATCCAAGTTTCTTCAAGGACGCGGTTGCTTCCATCCATAAAAATGATGTGCGGTTCTTGTGCGGCCTGTTTGACATCCCGCCTGAGCAGCTCCAAGCATTTGGCCGCAGTTGCGGAGCCAGCTACACCTGCCCGATGGGGGTGGTGCTCAGGGCTGGACCCGCCCTGTTCGGAGGCCTTGTGGAGGGCACACGCGTCATGCATCCGAATTACGTCCTCCCCATTGGCCCGTGCGACGTGCGCATTGCGGACTACAACGCGGATTCTGCAGGGAGGCCGTCGAAGAACGATCCCCAGTGGCTCCCTGATTGGATGCATCGAACAAGCGACTCCATCATCTCTCGGCGCTGGGTCCCAGCGAAGTACATGCCCAAGTGGGAGGATGACCCTGACCGCAGTAGCGGAGTCAGAAGAAAGCTCGGCTTGGCAGCGCTGCCCCCAATCGGCAAGGTCATTCAGAAGGAGCTCAACGAGAAGACCTTCAGCACGCACTGGTGCGAGGGCATCCACCAAAACGTCGTCTTCGTCGGCCACGGACGCCAGAGTCGGGCGAGCAAGCGGAAGCAC